AAGAGGTTTGCGAAGAATCTTTTCTTGATTTTACTCACCAATTCGGTGCTTGCTTGCATTCTAGGATTTAAATTTATCTACGTAAAAAGAAGGAGTGGGGAAAGGAAGTGAAAGAAACAAACTTTTGAACTTTAACGATACGGAAGCCGTTAATGTGCAGATTACCTAGATACTCTGCAAATTACCTAGGTAATTTGAGAAATTGAACAATTTTCGCAGCTTTAACGGATCACCCTAGTTAATCTGCAAATTAACTAGGTAATGTACACATTAACGGATTTCGAGCTTTAGCGGTAACATATACATAAAAGTTTTTAAGTTATGACTATGTTCTGTTATGATACCTCCATCATAAGTTGAATTGAATACAAATCAAACAAATAATAATAATAATAAAGAAGTGGGAACCATCTCAAAATGAAATGATTCCAAGGCCTATATAGTACTTACTTACAGTATTTATATTTAATCAGAAGCTGACTCATTTTTTATGCTTACTAGCCATAATAATTAGTTATTAACACAAAGATGGTATTTTAATTAATTAATTTTGATACTGATAGACTGGGGTTACTTTGTGACACTTTTCTCATTTTTTAATGTTAATTATCAGATTATTGGAGCAAATGTGTTGCTACTTGTAATTTTAGAAAGATCTAACAATATCCATTTTTTACAAGTAAAGTTTTTAATTGTTAATTTATTGTTTAAACAATACGGTGGGTGATCAGTTAACGAACACTTTCGTGAAAGATTTTTATGATCGGATAACGAACATTTCACTGAACAAACATAAAAAGAAGTGATGAAAATAGCAAATACCGACTGATTTCTTGTCTTCAGGCAACAATTCAATACTTTTCAGATTGCTGGAGATGTCAATATCGACACTCAACCCGGAATAAACTGATCAGATAGTATTCCTCCGAACTTTGAAACTCTCCCTTGTAATTCCAGCCTTTTATTTTTCTGACAGAAACAATTCTTTTATAGTATTCGTGAGTCTGTCGGGTGAGCACTCGTTAAGTTTTGCATTGGTTTTTATTTTCGAAAGGTGAGAGTATGACAGCAAAAGTAGAGAGTGGGCAGATGTTGCTGGGCAGTATGGCTCAAACAGGTCTACAGTAGGCTGCAGTTCAATCTTATCCAAGAGAGATACAGTATAATCAAGAAGACTCAAACAGCTAAAGGAGTAACAAAAATCACATCTGAGAAATAAAGAACATTGAAGTGCTTATAATGGAACCAAAATGAATCTGATTACAAAAGAACACCAAGAAACTTGGTGAGATATGTTTTCTTCTGAAAAAGAGGATTAATGCTGATATCTGCTATTAAAGATCTTTTGGAGAAGTGGTGGATGTCAGATCAACAGTCTTAGAATGGCATACAAACCAGGTTGAGGTTAATAGGATTGAGGATCTCTACAATTACAATTCTATTAATTACTTCTGAAAATTCTGAAGAAGAGAGAAAAGCAATTGATATTAGACAGATTCTTTAACCCCCACAAACAAAAAATCATAACTAATAAAAATGCAAGACTGCGGATATATGTATTTTTATTATTACATATAAATGAACATAGTAAGAAAGTATATATTTTTTATTTTTTGGGGTCTCCAGAATGAATTAATCGAATTCCCATACAAACCTATGGTAAATTGATAATCGGTTAATGAACAATTCGGATAGCGAACAAAGTCTTAGAACAGATTATGTTTGTTAACTGATCACCCACTGTATTGTGAAAAATATTTGTCACAATATTACCCTATGACAATTGCTAGTAGGAAAGGAAAAGAAAAGAAACAAAAATAATTCATTAGAAATACAGGCATACCCCAGGTTATGACCATCTCACAATAAAACTAACTGCAGATATGACAGTCATATATTTGTATCTCTTCCATGATCCACTAAGCTATCCTCATTGATATGACACTTGTCCATTCCAAGTGTTGTCACCTATTCAGTTTTTGAGTCTTATGTCTGATTGAAGACCAAAAAAATTTGGGTTTTAAGAAAATTTGTGACATCATCATTAAATTAATTAATTATTTTTGAATAAAATAGTTGATTTTACACAATGTAAGAGTAGTCGACAATTGTGGGCTCTGATCTTGAAATTTGTAAAATATAGCTTAGATCAGTGGTTCCCAACTTGTTTTTATTGCAGAACCCTCTTCACCTTAGTTAAAAATGTTAGAACCCTGACAGTTTTTAATGATTATAGATAAAAAAGCAAATAGAAACATCAAAAACAGTTTACAGTCGATCCCCCTATAAGATCATTGATTTTTCCGTTTTATCTGAATTACATGTTGTACGAGTCACTTAGATTTTACAAATATGTGAGCCGTTCACAGCCCGGCACACGTATTTGTAAAATCTAAGTGACTCATACAACATGTAATTCAGATAAAACGGAAAAATCAATGATCTTATAGGGGGATCGACTGTATTGAAAATGCTAAATAAATAAATAAACAGATTAACAATGGAAAGCAAATATAATTACTTAAATTGACAAATTAAAGCATATTTAACAATTGTATTATTATTTATATGTTGGATACTTTTTACTGTTATTTTTTAAAATTATTTTCTAGCTTCAGGTTAAGTTTTATCGTTTTTATAGTTTCATTATCTTGTCAAACATTATATTATGATTTCGGTTCTTTCTGTTACCGATAAATCGGTCCTCACTGTTTATAAAGCTTTGTAAATAACTCTAGCATATATAGAGGACGTCATAAGAGGACTCAATTCAAGATTAGAACAATTACACAAAATCTGAATTGATGCATAAAATCTGAAATTCTGAATTCTGAAACAAAATCTGAAATTCTGAATTCTGACAAAATCTGAATTGATTCATACATCACTAGACTCAATGGATTTTATTGTGAAACCCAAGATTTTATTGGCTGAACCCTAGAGTTTCACTAAACACAACTTTGGAACCCCTGATATAGATGATATTGAAACTTCTGATATGATAACTAAGCAAGTTTTTCAACTGAGGAGGAGACTGAATTTAGGAATTGATATGGCATATATTGAACAGCTAATTGAAACCCATGAGGAAGGATTAGCAAATGCAGAATGGATGGAGATACTACATTAAAAAAAATATTCTAAGGATGACTGATGAAGACAATGTTACAACACCTGATCCAACATTAGTCAAAACATTGGAAATTAAAGGGATTGCATTAATTTAAAAAAATTCAGCAACGACTTTCTTAACTTTTCCATCAACTTTTGGTGGTGCCATCTGTTAAGATATTTTATTTTTTTAAAATTTTATATTTTTAACTATTATAAAATGGCAAAAGCTTAATTTTGAGGGTAGAGATGAGTTTTATAAAAAATTGTAAATGTTAACAAGTAAAACTTAAGTTCAACACCACTCGAGACATGACGTGACTACCCTCTATCTCTCCACTTCCACCTCCAAAATTTAATAGCATCAATACTCCTTATACACAAGCTATTGTGCCAAATTTCAATTCTTAATCTTTATCCCATCCTGAGAGATTAAACGAAATATACCCCAACATGTGTGCACAATTTTTTTTGCCTTTTCTTTGAGTTTGGGAGTTCTCAAATCGTGATTTGCAAAAACTGAGGGTCATATCTGACACAATTCTAATACTTTCCCTTGTTATGTATACATAACATCCAGGAAAGTAATATATGAAAATGCTTCGTCAAAATGAAAATATTGTAAACTGTTAGGTGAAAAAATACATAATAATAAAGTGTAAACATTTAAAATTGCAACTTTAAGTTATATTTTTAATTGAAGTTAAAGTGCATGATAATATTTTCATGAAGAAATGTTTTATGAAATGTTTGACAATTGGTTAAAATGACTGGCAATAATAAAAGTTCAAATTTTGGCTGGCTGAAGAGGTTAATATCGACCTACTGCTCTGGGAAGGGGGGATCAAATTTAAGGGATTGAAAAACCCTAGCAATTTTTTTGGGGATAGTCTCTCTTCCCCTCAATGGCTGTTCCATTGTGGACCTAGCCAAATTTATATTGGGCTCAAAAAAAAATTCCTCTTAGTGTTCACTTGGTAGTCAAAAAAATAAATAGTACTTATTATATCTTGATAAATAATTTGTAATAAAATAATGTTTTTCATCGTATAGAACTTAATATTTGATATAGAATCACTTTTCAGTTTTTATTGCCATCTTCCAGCTATTGTTTAATTGACTTTTTTTTTAAAATTAAAAATTGTTCATGTAATTTTTTCATATGGTTTCAAGGTCTTAGAAATTCATTTTTGACAAATTTTTAATGATATTTTTATTTTAAAATATAAGATGAAAATTTTTGAAATTTTTAAACAGTTATGCAGACGGCTTGGCGAGAGAGGGATCCTCAAGCCAGAATTAAAGCCGCGCATGAAGCATTAGAAAAAAATTCTGAGTAAGTATGTCATGTCCTAAATTTGAATGTTATTGAAATAATTGAAAATAATCCTTTTTTCCCCTTGATTTTAACCCTAGTCATGCCAAATTGGAAAATGCATTTGTATCATTACAATTAATTCCCTGGAATCAGCCATTAATTGAATTTTAACTCTTTCCACATCTCCATACTTAATTTTGTTGAGATGTAAATTTGTACTTCAAAAGTATAATCAATTTATCTAAGGTCAGGAAATTATAGTTTGAATTGTATATCTGTTCCTATCTACCCTTGCTATCTAAAGGCCTCATTTACCAATAATTTGAGAATTTTGTCTTCAAATTAAAGTAAATTAAAATGAAAACCCAAAGTTGATTGCAGCCTGAGTTACGTATGTTTGCATTAAAATTATAGAAGTTTTGTTTTTATAAAAAATAAGAGAATTTTCAAGTTTCTTTAATTGTAAATAAAGAGAAACTTTACATTTCAAATTTCAACTGTCTAAAATGTTAATATTCATGACTGGGATTAAAATAAATTAAAATTAAAAGAAATTCAAAACTTTCAACAGATTAAAGTGTTTCAATTATGCAGATGCGCACCCGCTTACATTTTGTTGGCCGAAGAGGAAACGACCACCATTCTAGAAGTAGGTATCGCGCTCAATTTTAATTTTGTCTGTTAAATATTTGAAAGTGAAACTGGGTATTTCATTTATTCAGGCAGAGAAATTATTTAAACAAGCCCTCAAAGTTGCAGAAATTAATTATAGGAAAAGTCAACAATCACAACATCAGAGTCCTGCTCAGGAAGCATTACATAGTGAGTTTACAATCTTGAGAGATTTTGGTGTAATGTAATGCATGCTTTTGCATTTATTTATGCTTTTCTTAATGATTAATTATCTGATAATTAGGAAGAGACACAAATGTTTTGGTCTACGTCAGGCGAAGATTAGCAATGTGTGCAAGAAAGTTGGGAAAGTTAAGAGAAGCAGTAAAAATGATGCGTGATGTGAGTTGATCACTCCCTCAGTTTTCTATTGATTTAAGAAACATTAAATTTAGCAAATTAAATTTTTTTAATAGCTTATAAAAGAATTTCCAATGATGAATGTGTTCAACATTCACGAAAATTTAATAGAAGCTTTGCTTGAAATGCAAGCTTATGCAGATGTTCAAGCAGTCTTAGCAAAATACGACGGTAATTTAAATTACTATTTTCGAAAACATTTAATGTCAGATAATTTTACACAAAGAATTTATTTCAGATATTAATTTGCCAAAGTCTGCCACGATTTGCTATACTGCGGCACTACTCAAAGCGAGAGGAGTCAGCGACAAGTAGGTACTTCTTAGCTTTTAATATTTTGAAATACAAAGGAATAAAAAATTTCTGTGTATAGATTTTCTCCAGATGTGGCTTCGAAACGAGGACTAAGTACGGCGGAGATGAATGCAGTGGAAGCAATTCATCGAGCTGTAGAATTCAATCCTCATGTTCCCAAGGTAAGTAAAATAGGGTCAGGTAATTATTTATCAAAGTTAATCTTGAATTTTGATAATGTGTAGAAAAACTTCACCACCATTCAAAATATAGAAAAATATGGGTGTCATTTAAGTCAAATCAGGTCAAACATGACAGAGGGATGGAGTAAAAAGGAAAACTTACTTATATTTTCTCATACTATGCATGTGTCCCAGCATTTTAAATGATTCAAATATTCATAGAAAAGGTTTTATCATTTGAACTAGGATTACACATCAGCATCATCAATTGTGAAAATGTTGTCCATCCAGAAATCTGAGGTGAAAATCACTGGGTAGGATCTGGACTTAAAACTGGGTAAAATCACTGGGTAGGATCTGGACTTATGTCCAGATCCTACCCAGTGATTTTCACCTCAGATTTCTGGACATAAGTCCATTAACTCAGTAGGATCTGCTGTCTGATGTTTTAATTAGGATCTGATGTCTAGACAGCATAACTCAAAGTAACTCAAACTGGGTAGGATCTGGACTTATGTCCAGATCCTACCCAGTTTGAGTTACTTTGAGTTAATGGACTTATGTCCAGATCCTACCCAGTGATTTCAGGCACTGTCTCCCAGTGCAATTAATGGATTTTAGCAGTGGCCAAATGAATAGTGTGAATGACCATTATCTTGCAGATGTACACCTTAAACAGTGAAATTCCATTTACTCGGCATCCAGTATTCTGACAAACTGATAAGCCAGCATGTCAAGATTGTCATCAGTGCACTGGGTAGGTCTGGAGTTAAGATTTTCGTGTAAAGGCCCTCAAAATGTACAGTTGGTGGGTTCTTTTAGAGATGACAAATGCCAAAATGACATGATGTTGTGCTAGGTAAAACCAGTTAGCTCACATATGATTTCTCTAAAGACTTTTCCAAAGACATTGGTGCACAGGTTTCATATGAGAAGCAAAAATATTTAGCACATTTGGAATTAATAATTATGAAAACAGCTATTGTACATTACTTTTGATGTACTTTGAGTTACTGTGTATAAATACAGAAATAATCAAAGTGTACAAAGAAAAAAAAACTAAATATTCTTGTTTCAAGCCAACAAAGGGTAGGAATAACATGTTTTACATACCATATTAATTTTTTCAATTATAAAACTGTACAAATCCAGCTTTTATATATGAAGAGATGTAAAATTGTGTCCAGGAATTAAAACATCAGACAGCAGAAGTTTTTCTAAGGTGGCGCATTTGATAATATGGCATTGTGTTGGTCCCAACATTGTTGGGTTAATGGAATGTCACCGTATGCCGAAAGTCTTATCAGAACCTGGCAAACACAGGCACTGTTCATAATGGCACTTCTGGATAAGAAATCCACATAAGTTCATTACGTGGATTTCTTATCCAGAGGTGCAATCATCCAAAACATACTAGACATCACTTTATTTATAGATGACACTGACTAGAATCGGAAGCTTAATCAAAGATAACAGAGTGACTAAGTGTGTTGCTTTATATTGGATCTGAAGTTATCAGTGGACTACTGCTGATTTGACCTATCTACAACCAGGAGTTTAATGATTATATGAAGGTTACTTAAATAAAATCAATTGCTAACCATCTTGAATGCTTCTCTTTCATTGCAGCCAGATTTGTTATTTATAGCCATCTTGCATTGTGCTTTGTCCAAACTGTAAAATCTGGATTTGACATGAGCAACGTTTGTACCTTCTAAATATAACTTACTCTTTTGAGTATTAGATTTAGAAAAGACAACTGATGGGTGACAGTATCTGGAAGATCATTGATTCAAATCCACATGAAACTTTTAGCTGAGCTACCATAACAAAATTATTGGTAACTGCTGACATATCAATAATTTTGGAAATTTAAACGACAATAAATAACAGATATTTTAGAATTTTGAACTGGCTTTACAAGAATTGGTGATTTATTCCATCATTTTACGTTGTCTTTTCTGTTGCAATGTTTACTAATGTAGATAAAGTGCATTATGTTATATACTGTATATATGTAGTGAATATTTACAATTTTTTATTAATAGTATCTTCTAGAAATGAAAAGTCTCATTTTACCTCCCGAACATATTTTAAAACGAGGAGACAGCGAAGCCATTGCCTATGCTTTTTTTCATCTGCCTCATTGGAAGAGAGTTGAAGGAGCTTTAAATCTTCTCCACTGTACATGGGAAGGAAGTAATGCATGTTCAATTTACTTAAAAATTTATTTAAATAATTTAAAAACACTAAAAAACGTTTACATTTTAGCATTTAGAATGATTCCTTATCCATTGGAGAAGGGTCATTTGTTTTATCCCTATCCAACTTGCACCGAAAGTACGGACAAAGAACTACTTCCAGGTACCTCCCATCATACTATATTACTCAATCGAGTCGAATTTAATAAGTTCTTAATTGTTTTTGCTTCAGCATTCCATGATGTTTCAGTGTATCCCAAAAAGGAGTTACCCTTCTTCATCCTGTTCACAGCCGGACTTTGCTCCTTCACTGCACTTCTGGCTCTTTTAACTCATCAATATCCAGAACCCATGGGAGCATTAGCAAGAACTGTAAGTAGCTTTTAAAAAAGCAGAATTAATTGAAATTATTCTAAATAATTATTTAGTTTATTTCACAGGTGATAAGTTGGTTATCTCTACCTTTAAGTTATATCATGGAAAAAGTGGAAGCAATTTTGCCTTCCAGTCTCCTACACCAATTGTCACGCATCTGATCTTCCTTCTGCTCCAAAGACCACAAACTGTTACCGGTGCAGCTTCTTGCCAAATGCACCGCATTTTATCTCAAGACGCCGCCGCCGCCGCCCGGGTACAATTAATAAATGTTATTGGTAGAAAAGGATTGTCTGGCGTGGAAAAACTCTCTCGAAACGTAATGCGTCTGTCGTCTTAAAAAATTTTCCAAAGGAAAAAAACGTGCTTCTTTTGTACTTCCATCTCTAATGTTAAACGTGATATTTTTTTGAAATGTTGATAGCAGCATATCGAAACGTCGCCACGTCGGCCGAAGTGAGTTCGAATACTTTGTGAGATAAGTGCTCCATACTCTCCTTTTGTTGTCGTATCAGTACGGATTTTACTGCACAAAAATTGTAGTGTGTTGTTTTTTAATGTACAAAAAATGTGACTGCTAATAAACATTGAGCAAACAAAATATAGTGGTGTGGTGTTGTTAAAAAAACCAAATAAATAAAATAAAACTAGATAGAGAATCCATTAAACCATCAAATATTCTTTTCCCTCGCAATTATACAGATAATATCCATAGAGTAACACGATCCCCATTCAGAATATTCTTAGAGCAGAAGTCCGGAGGAACTGTCTACAAAAGGAAGGTGAGTGCATTCAACTGCTTTCAGAATACCAATAGGGAGTCTTAATAACAATGACAAATGGAAGGTTGCTATTTAAGTCGGCACTAAAGAGGAAAAAACATTCACTAGACTAATACTAGCTTTTATCCATGCGGGATATGTAAATAATCGTGGGAAAAAAATTCAATATTTGCTATTACTAACGAAATGCGATTGGTACATCAGGATATTTTATTATTTCTGCTTAAATAATAACTTCTAAATATTACAGTATATATCGGAGTTACTTCGATAATAAGGCACGAACATCCGATCATATTTTTTTTAAAAATATCTCTTCACTGTTTGACATCTTTACAAGTATGCACGTCCTGTAATTGTGCGCATTGTTCACACTTCACTACACAACACCAATAAAACTTGCAGCCGCACTTGTTCACTCTCATTACTCGTTTGGTGTCGTAACCCCTTCCACAGCACATAATATCGCAACCGTCGGTTCCCATAGAAGTTCGGTTGCATTCGCGTCCCGCTGTACCTAGTGTTCCTATAAATAAATTAATTAATTAAAACATTTCTACGAGACGACGTAACTACAATATACTAACCTGTTTTATCGTTACTGTTACAATAGTCTGGTGACGATTCGAAATATACTAAATCCGACTTGGTAGGTTTTTTATAATTCTTCTTGGCAACTATTAATTCTGTTCCCGCTTGATTCACCATTACTTGTACGCTTCCGTCGTACTTCTTTTTCAGATAATTACCGATGTTGCGAAAATCCATCATGGAGATCCAACACGTGCGAACCGTGCACGATCCGCTTATTCCGTGACATTTGCACTGTAATTCCACGTGATTCTGGACGGCCTGCGGATTATATTAATATAGATTCCCTCGATAATTATAATAAGGATGGCCACGCTTACCTTCCTTCCGGCTCTGTTGTTATGCAGATTCATCAAGGCTCTAGCGTCCCTTTGCTTCCTCTCTCTGGCATCTACGAACTTTCTAGCGAATTTCATGCCGTATTTAATATAATCGGAACAACCACCCCAAGTGAATTTACCTCCGACATCGTATTGAACTCCCACTTTAGTAGGATCGCACTCGCAATTGGTCAAGTCGCCATTACTGCACGATCGGGTAATGGAATGTACTACTCCGGCAGAACTGATGGCGTATACGAAAGCCGATTCGCGGCTACCTACTATAAGAATTTGTATCAATATCTACAACCAATAAGATGGAGTCTCTTTTTAAAAAATATTTTAAAAAATCGAACCTCTAAGGAGTATTTTACCAAAAACCGAAGCATCCCTATTTACGGTGGTGCAATTCCATCTCTGATTGTTAAATTGATACTGGCATTCTCCCACTCCTAATCTTGCTCCTCTTCCTACGCTCATCATAATATCTGGATATTTCTGGCAAAGAATCTTCTGATATTTAGCCAATCCCGGGATGTTTTCGCATATAACGCGCACACCCACGGACGAAGCCTGAATTTGACTTAAAAACCTTGGAAAAAATAATATTTATACACATTTTAATGCGAAAAACGTTCGTACTTTTGTATATATTATCAATTTCTCTTAAGTCTAGAGGAAAAGTGAAATGAAAACGGCCTACACAAAAAAAAGAATTCTGAGTATTTTTTAAACCCTTGCAAAACAATTTCGAATTTTTTTAATTTTCTAAAAAATAAACGAGGATTTTTATTTGGTAATAAAAAACAAGCAAGCGAAATGGTTCGGAATCGATTTTTTTAATATATATAAATAAGTTTTATGCGGGCCACATCTGGGCGTAGTAGGTAATGTAATAGGGCGAAAAATCGTTTCCTCTTATCGAAATATGTTCCGTTTGATGTTAAATCGAGTTTTATTCGTCTCGAAAGCACTCAGATGCTAATAATTGTGGAATATATTCTACTCCATCGAGTGCTATCTCGTATAACTTCGAATTACATTCGGGAAATCTATCGAATGCCTAGTCGTTACGCGAATTACTGCAAACAGAAAAAGATCGTTTGCACTTCTAAATGGAGTAACGCACTTTTTTACAACTTATTTTTACTGTAAATAAGCAAACGTAGAATAAAATTATAGAAAAATTAGAAGCTACGAATCTCAAGCGTGTTTGAAGAGCAATGACTTATTTTACATCTGCTGACGTTAGCACGAAGTTGATCGATAATCGAAATTAAATTACATTCTATAGAACGAATGTTTTGTCTTAAAATTATTTTAATCGTAAATAAAAGCTAAAAAATGGTTTTTTGTTGGCCGAAAGTGACGCAGAAACGGCGCGTGTATGTTAGATATAAACAATAGTAACTTTAAAAACTGCGAGGATAAATAATTATCCATTACTAAAAATTCACTAAACTATTTCTCTGAATATCTGATTGTATTTTCTTATATAAATAGGTACAAGGCTTTTGAGGTAATCACCAACAATAACGCATAGTAATGTGCTCTGGGGATCATTCTTAAAAGTCTATTCTCCTCAATTACCCCTTTTCCAGGTACTCACAGAAGGAAATTGAGAGAAACAATTATGTTAAACGGTTACCAGTGTGAAACATAAATGAATATTCTCATTTCAACAATTAGTCTCTTGCAGTTATTGGAATTTTCAGAGAAAGAGAGAGATCCCTTTACGACTATATGTAGGCCTAAATGATATCTTCCCTCATTCCCTTTTCTGCTTTTAAGATATTTGACAATTTGTTTTGATGAGGTAGTTGGACAAGAATTCCCCGATGGACAATTTGTTTATTAGCGTGAAGATTTTCGAATTTTGAAGGAAGGTTAAGTTCTCTTAGTTTTTCGGCTTCTTTTCAGGTCTTAGTAACCTACATTTTTATAGCTTTTCTGCGGTTTTTCTACAGCTTATTTATGGCGGGTCATCTCACGCAGGTACTGTACATTACGCTACATCTCCATTAGGCCTGAGTTTCTATTAATAATCTTTTTAAAAAAAAATAACAGAAACAAACATATTTCTAGCTTATAAACTAAAAATGCGCTGTTTGAAAATAAATTTTCGTGTTTTAATTTAGGCGTAGGCTGACTTGAGTTATTTTAAAGCCTCATTAACTCTGCAGATTATGGAAATCATAAGAGGAAAATGCAAACTTGCTTTATAAACATGGCTTGTGCATGACAGAAAAACCGATTCGGGAATAGTTAAATTCAAAATTTCAAATATAATGTTTGAATTTACTTAAATAATATGCTTCACCTTAGGCCGTAACATGAAATAATCCTGCGAAATCTTGTATAATTTTTTAAAAATAGATTTACATTAAGTTAAACAATGATAAATCTTAAACAAACTTTCCTATAAAAGTATATTTTTACAGTATACAGGACCTAAATCTAAATAAAAAATTTGGATATTTTAAGGAAAATTTACATGCTGAATATATATATATTAACTCAATTACGTTGAATGATATGTTACTATCATAATTTTCAACATAGCTTTTTCAAATTCTAGAAAAGATATGATATTTTTGATAAGTTTGCATAAAATTTAGCATACAAATTCTACGTCTGCATCAGAGTGATTTCTCAAAATGTTTATCGCTTTCTCCTCCGATTAAATTTTGAAAAAATTAAATTTAACTACGAGATTTACCAGGCAAACTGAATGTTTTTAAGACAAAAACGATTCTCGTTGCTATGGGAAATTTCGCTGATTTTTCATAATCTAGAGGGCTAATTTTTTGGTTAATGATGTTCGAGTGAAAAGCTTCGAATGGTTTTAATGCCTACATGAAAAGTACTCACCACCAAGAAGACTCGCAAGTAATGAACATGTAAGTCAAAATGAGGATGATGCGGCAACTCATCTCCTAAACAAGACGATCATCATCGAGCAAAACGGGTCCAAATGCCTGACGTCAATCACTGACCGCCAACAACGCCGATCATCCCTATTCTCATTGGTTATTTACACATGACGTCACTCAACGAATTAGCGCAACTGCTTAATTTACCATTCAAGGAAACATATTTTAAAGCAATATCTTTACGATTAGAAGAGGCAAAAGAAAGGGTTTAAATTCTAAAATTAAACGTCGCTTCTAATCCTTGATTTTGGTAGATCTTAGGGAAAAAGTGCCAGAACCCAAAGTGTCCCCCCGACTAAATCCCACTTTTTCTGTAAGAAAAACGGAGATAGAAAGGTATAAAGCGAGAGAAGCTACTCTGGAGTAGGACTGTCGAGAGAAATTAGGTGGTGGAGATCTACTAATTCCTTTCTATTTTGTAAGGGACAAAGAAAGACACAGATTACAACTGGCATCTCGTTCTTCGGTAGGTTTTCAGCTTGAGAACTTGTCCACTGTATTGTTCGTTAACAATAGTGCAAACAGGACTTTACTGAAGGTATAAGGGTGACGAATTTTCACATACATACACCGTCTAGATAAAAATACAACCGGGAGAAATATCGGAAAAAGTTTGCCGTGACGTCAAATTCCCATTTAAATTCCTATATTGAAATTATTTCTTATGCCATTAGCTTTGTGTCATTATTGAATATTTTCAATATTTGTCAAGAATAATCGAATAGAACTTGATATACTCATTTATTCGTTGATTCAAAGCTCGTCTGTCAATCATTTCGTTCTAGAATGTTAAGTTATCAAAATCAACCAATTGGAAGTCGTGTGTTAACGATTGACGGTAGGCGTGACGTTTTGCGTCATTACAAGCCGAACGACGGAGGTTTATTGGTAGAAATTATAATGAAGTGTATTAACATAACGTCATTGGTCGGTGTGTTAATTCATATAAATTTTCTTTTCATTGTTATAAAGATTAATTATTCATTTAGCTAATAACACTTACAATATCTAATTATTATATCTCTTTAAATTAGCCTTTATATCACATTATATAAAGCAATAATTTCAAATTTAATTGAGCTTGGAGAATAATCATTTATAGTTCAAAGTAATTCCCTAGACATCTCTCAGATGGCAGCACTAGTTTTTACAAAAATATCTCTTCCTATTCGTTAAATTTATTTTTTCAATTTACAAATGCAAAAATTTTGAATTAAATAAAATTTACAAATGCAAAAATTTTGAATTAAATAAAATGATAAAAATAAGTTTTAATTTTGGTAAGGAAAAGAAAATTTAAATTCCTAAAATTAAAATCTGTATAGATAGATATATCAATATAGTGTTATACCTTACCAGTTGTAAAATTGGTCATCTTAAGTTCGAGATTTGGGAAATTCGCTTGAAACTTCATCGATGTTTTTTGCTTCTACTTGACGAGCGCTGTGTTGGCAATCTATTTTATGAACAATGGAGAATTTCTGCCATAGACACGTTTCCAACATAACCTCTTGTCCCAGTTTCTGGATGATTCTCCTTCCAAATAATAACTCTACAAAAGATTTTTTTTTAAAAAAAGAAAGAGCTATGATTGAAAATAAAGTTCTACTATTCATAATTTAAGACTATTTTTAAAGAATTTCTACCATACACATTTACGTTAGGAAATACGAATTCAGAACGTTAGTTTTTTTTTATTGAGGAAAGTAGAGTTTTGATTTATCATTTCCTATTTTTATATATTTTCTGTATTAATGTAAAATTTTCAATAAATATTGTACGATTACGGTAGAAGTTTTGAAAAGGCAACCAAGTTTAGTTCTAGAAAATAAAATTTTGAATTAGAAGACGATAAATAGAGTTGCGATTGGTTAAACATGGAAATACAAATGCGTTAGATAAGAGAGCTTTCGACCTTTACCGTCCGGTTACCATAGAGACTGATAGTTATCTATGTCACGTGATCCGACATACGTCATTAGCAACGTACTCCAACGAAACGGCAGACAAATGGACCAGGTTAATAGACACGCTACTTTTACAGAAGAGAGGAAATATATATATATATATATCTTTTGCATTTCGATTGGCTGTTTGCTCAGTAAATAAATCCAAGTTTTCTTTTTTAATGCAAACAATTACTTAGCGTGTTATCTTTCATTCGTATCGATTACATAAAAAAAAAAGACGAAAAGAAAAAAGATTACGTTAACAGAAATCTTTCAATTTACACTTTTGGAATTTTCTTTTATTCTACAAAAACCAAGAAATACTTTCAAATTATACATCCGAAGAATGTTTTATAAGCAATAAGGATATAAAAGCAATAGAAAAGAACGGCTAAATTCGAAAATAAATGATTAATGCCCCGAAAAGAAAACTGAAATAAAAATAGTAGCACTAGCTATTTTTTTAGATTTATATAACTTACTTCACATTCTCTTAAAATAAATATTGCAGGTAAAATTTTTTTTTTAGCTAAGTATAGTTTAAAAAGAAATAAGAAAAATGAAAGTATTTCGCCTGGGTACAATATCTTATATCAAGAAAAATGAGGAGATTACTAGAGATAAGTACTATATAGATCTATATAAATATAGAATGCCAATACTGGTTAGATCAGAAATTATATAGCTTATATATATATATATATACACGTAATATATATTATTATATAGCTCTATAATGATGAGGATCGAATCGATTCTCAAACTCAGTATGACATCGAACTTTAGCAATACTTCGTAATTTTATGCATAGTGTCGAGATATTATATATGAAACTGAAAATATATGTTACGTAAAGCGAATTTATTTTTATTTTAATAAGATAATTATCCCTAAGGACGTGTAAATTTTAGGAAAGCTTTTATACATATTAAGAAATATATTGAGAAAAGGAGGTTATGTGTATATGTACAGTACATTATGTAATTGATTTCTGTAATTAAGATTCGCACAAGAGATGAAGAGATTACAAATGCAATAAATGATAACATAATGTAGTGTAATAATAATTAACACGTAATTTAAATCAATTTGTACGGAATGTTTCTAATGAAGTCTTGGAAATTGTAAAAAAATGTTTTTTTTCTTCTTTTTTTTTATTAAATGTTCAACTGCGCTATTTTAGGAAAACTATTCTCATAAGAGACAATTCTCCTGAGAATGTAGAACTATCTTAAATGCCATTTCTTTCGATGAAAAAAAAGGAATGCCATCTTAAGAAAAATTGTATGTGGGAAGAATTTAGTTATCTCTGAGAAATTTACTAAATAAGAATCAAATTATAGCATTTCAACCTTTCTAAAAGACTAACAATTTATTGATTTTGTATATGATACAAGAATAAAATTTTCAACTGTAATGACTATAAAAAAACAACTGTTAATTGCAGCCTTAGGTAGCACTTTCTTCCAAAGCATCGTCTTCGGTCTCGTAATAATAGTAGCTGGGATTAGAGGGGATGCGGTTCTCGGGCAGTTCGGGATATAATTTTCTCCAGCGTGAAGGAGGCCACACAATGTGGGATGCTTTTGCCGTTATCAGACCAACTGCTACCTGAAAATAGCTTAATTAATTTTGAAACTTCGGATCAAATAAACAAAACCCGATACTTACTGGACCAAAAAAGTTGCTATCCATACTGTGCGCGTGATGATCACCCTCGACCCAACAGTGTCCCTGGGGAATAGGCATATATCGCTTCTTATATGTTAAAGTCCTGTCGGAAAAAATAAAGGAAATTCTACCTACGAAACTCATTATACACAGCGGGTCAATTAGGAGCAACTTCTGTCATCGACCGTAAGCCGATAATACGATCATAAATTCTCTCAGACTAATTAGAGTTAAAAATTTTCTGTTAAGAAGAGGATATACTTCATTTCCGAGAACGAAACTATATCGATCGTTCTTTCGTTGAAAATTTTTATTAATATTAGTCCCTTACATGATTAAAAAGTAATTAATGGGCCGAAATGACTTACTTGACGACATCGCCTTCGGTGGCAATAACTCTTTTGATGATCTTCTGCTCCGGATTACGAGGAGATCTAAAATAAAATTTTTGTATCATCAGAAACTAATAAAAGTAGTTATTAAAATATGTCATGAGTTGTATTGTTATATTCTCTATTCAGATATTAATTCCTGTTCGATTAAATGTTCAATTCATCCTACTAGTTGACAAAAAACCAAAAATACGAGTCAATTTATCAACTTTTATCTGCACATAAATACGGTATAGAGGAATCTTAGACCTTAGAATTGGTGATAAAAATAAAAGCGACAAGTTGACAACGTTAGAGAAAGACTGATAATTGGATGTCACTTCTGTTGAAACATGTTCCGACTAGACATAGATACAACCAATAGAGAGTTGATCACAGTACTAAGATCTCATTTCATCAGACTTAGAAAAAGAAAAACAAACAATAAAGACGTGTAACTTAGAGTCTAATGAAGATGAAATACGTTTTAATCAATTTTCTACTTCTACATTTATTTTTATTAATCTCAATAAAGAAATACTTTAAGTGTCTAACTGTAAATAAAGATAAATATATTTTCGTTTTTTGAATTAAGTATAAAAAATCAGAATAACTAAAACTTCTCTCCAAAAAAAAAAAGAGAGAGAGAGAGAGAGAGAGAAAGCATCTCCAGTTAGAAATCCAATTTTCTTACAAATTACAGAAAGCGGTAGAAACAGGAAAAAAATCTGAAAATGAAACGTGTTGTCACTACTACACTGGAGATTATAAATCTAGAGAAAGAATGAAATGCCGTTGTTTATTGGGATGGCTAAGAACAGCATCACAGCAACACTCCGAAAGGAATTTAGACACCAATTTCTATCTAAAACTTTCTGAGAGAAAAAAATAAGTGCAGAAAAATCTAGTTTTCTAGATGACAATAGTTATTCATCAATTCCAATATCGTAAGAAATTATTTTAGGCATTTTTCATTTCTGTCAATGGAAAGTATCGAGAATGTATATCCGAGATTTACTTGTCACAAGTTATGCTAATGCTGCAAAAAGATATCGATAGCAAATAGTGAAACAAACGTTGAAAAATAGCACAAATGATGGTTGTTGCCGAGTAACTGTTTATCGAGAAAATTTCGATTGATCAAAAAATTATTATCTGACAACAGCTGTTATCGTTAGTGTCGTTAAGGTTACCGCAACCTACAATAAGTGATTGGCAGGTGGAGAAAGCGGCACATCGATTTGACAATGGAGTAATCGGAAATATTGGATTGGAGAAACTTAAACGGTTTTTAACAGAAATTCAATTTTATATTTTCTTAGATCAAGAGAACATGACACAGTTAGCAAGATAGATTAAACTTAATGAGTGAAAATTAATTATTTAATGGAGATTCATCTAACCCGAAGAATAAAGGAATACATCAGCAGGTAATAATATGCGTCACCTGTTCTTCTCTTTATTGATTGAATCCTCGAGCGAAGGATCGATAGAGTTTACTGGGTGACCCAATTCTCAACTTTGTATCGTTGCTTGAAGCGACGAGATAAAAGAAAGAATCCGCTTTCATCCCGAGCTTCTGCCTCTTCAATACCTATCTATACAATATAAAGTACACAGATCCGGTTAGGATTTGCTTATGGCTTCAATATTATCACCGAAATCAATCGACTTCTACACAACGCAAATAGCTGGTAGTCGTAACAAACGAGAACTACTACTGTTTGTTTTAATGCATCTTTCAGAAGATTTTATTAAGAAAACGAAAATCGGAAAAAAAGTAAACATTTATCATTCAGAATATTTAATAAAAACAGATTCTAACAACAAACTATTTTAAGAAAGTAATCTAGAATAACATTTTTAAAACGTAGAATATTTATTTTCACATTTTATTACCGTAAATATATTCGATAACCTGCATTCAAATCGAGAACAAAACTATATTGGCTAATAAAAAGCATAAAAATGCATTTTGAATACTATTTAAGGCCCATAAATTTCGTTTCAAGATTTACACACGTCAAATTCGATTTCTATTTCGAATTAATGAATTATTCTTAAAAAAATCAACCTGTCAAAAGCAGAGAAATAGTGAGAGTTTTATTTTATTGTCGGATCGAATATCTGGGATAAAATATAGTGTGCCTTCTGGGGAATAATCTTTGAAAGTTTCTGCTTTTTTAGTAAGGGAGAGAGAGAGAGAGAGAGAAAGGGGAAAAAATATAGGATATATTCTTTATCAGTAGCAGATAGGGAAAAGTAGATTAATGATTACTTTAACACTTCTATATCTTAATGAGTAAAGAATTTCAACTTAATCGATTTGTAACGATTTTCTAGTCGTGGTTTAGGCAGAATGATAAAGACGAATAGAATCAACCCAGTAATGTTACTATCAAAGGCATATAAAAATCAAAATTTCTTTTAATTTAAACAGTAAGAGTTCATAAAATGAAAAAGAAGAAAGGAATTCAAAAGAAGAAAAATGTCATGCACGGTTTAATTTTTCTACATTTTTATAATGTTCAATAGAGCATTCAATTAACCAAGTTGAAGATCCGATAGGAGTTCACGCTGTTTCGCTACTAATTAACTCTCATTAACCTAATGAGTCTACATCCAAATTAGAAGAATTTTCAATCTAAATAATTAGTTTTAAAATATATTTTATTTAAATAAGAAAATTCAAATAAATTATTATTATTATGAGCAAAATTAAAAAAACAAAAAAAAAACAATTTAATTTTTTTTATTTGTTTCCTATTTCGATTCTACCTCATTAACTTTTTATCAGAAGAAAGGATAGAGAAAATGATTTCAGTGATTGATACTGCGCTGAATGGGACATTGGTCAATTAATGGTCTGACAAATGACAAATAGCGAGTAAACACTTGAGACAAAATAAGAATGGAGTGTGGCATTACCACGTATTAATTAAAGTCCAAACGAATGTAGCAAATTAAGAGTAAGTACAAAACACTTCTGCTCATGCTCCGTGGCAACGATCACTCCAAGAAAAGCGACTGACAGTCGAGGAGTACAGGACTAGAGATACAGAGGCCATCGGGATCGATACATATGGTTCACAGGCTGCAGACCGATTTTATATTTCAACTATTATTCGAGGTTAGTAGTAATTTGCTTTGTAAAATGCGTCCTTAGCTCTACTCGAGGTAGAATTCCCTAATTGTTTATGATAATCCTGAGAGTTTTGGGATTCCAGTAGCGATCGATACTGACGTATGCCGAGTAAATGCAGTTAGTAAACGCATTATGGGATATTTATATATGTCTAAATTTTTTCTTTTATCCGCCGGGCTTATTTTCAGTTTCGTAAAGTTATCCGGAGCATCGATGAATGTGTAGGGAGGAGACAATGCTTTTGGCCTTGCGCCAGGATTTGGGGTTGTATCCACATAAGTCTTCAATACATTCTTAAGCCAAAGATCAAACAACTTCAGTTAAGAAGATAAAAAAAGCTCCTGCAACTTTCTGTTTGAAGAGTTATGCTTTTTTTTCATAATACGGACTTCTTCACGGATGTATTTTGCCGTTCTTCCGATTATGCCTCGAGCAGGGTAAAATGAACGTCGTAATAATTCAATTAGGTGACGCAAATTTCCATTTACTGGTAACAAACCAGCGGAGCACGAATGATTTATATCCTGGGGCGGAAAAAGGTGAAGTCTCTTTTTTCATTTTTGTTTCTCCATCTCCTTTTTTTTTCTTTCCATAATAAAGCATTAAACCGAATATTTCAACGTAAAGTTTGTGCTGTAAATTATCATTTTTTCATAAACTTTATGGTTTTTTTTTACATTTCAGGAAATCAACATAATGGATAAATACATCTACATCTTTAAAAAGCATTCAATGGTATAAGAGATGGCTAGATCTATTCTACCAAATCCACCATGAAGATTTTAATATCTGTTTTGGTTCCATTAATGACTGATCTTTTATTCATTTATTCACAAAAAATGGAAAGCGATAAATGGTTGATTGCATGTCCAAAATCCTGCCAATGCCAAAATCAACTTTCTGCCCGCCTAAACATATCTTTAAAGACAGTTAATTGTACAAACGCGGGATTGAAGAAGATTCCCAACGGCCTACAACCCTCCACTCAATCTCTCTTGCTAGGTTATAATCATTTAACCGATCTGAACGACCAATTATTTCCAGTGTTATCTCAACTAAAAGAACTAGACTTATCCTTCAATCAGATTAAGCAGTTGGGCCGAGGAATGATATTACAAAATTTCACGGAACTTAGATCACTAGATTTATCTTATAACGATTTTAGAAACTTATTAGACGGAGTGTTTCGTGGTCTAAATCGGTTAGAAATTCTGATCATCACTCATGTGCAAATTAAGTTTATAGCTGAACATGTTTTCGACGGCTTAACTAATTTAAAACATCTAAGTTTGAATGGAAACCAACTTCACGCAATATTTCCCGAATGGTTTATGGATCTAGGTAAATTGGAATGCCTATACTTGGACAATAACTCTATATCTTACATCAATAGTGGAAGTTTTGCATTTTTAAAGAACCTTCGTAATCTTTCTATATCGCACAACAGAATCAAAGGAATCAGTCAACATGCTTTCGATGGTCTAGAGAATCTAACAATTCTTAATTTAAGCTATAATCAATTAGTTAAAATACCGTCGGCGTCCTTCCAGCCAATTAAACATATCAAAATTTTGCATTTGAGTGGGAATTCCTTTACAGAGATCCAAACTGGAGATTTCGTCCATGCTCGATTTCAACATCTGTCCTTAGATAATATTTCCGATCTGTGGTTAATAGATCGTGGTTCGTTCTGGGATTTAATCAATTTACGTGTCATTAAATTACATAATAATCATCAATTGCAATATATAGATCCAGAGGCATTCATAAACGTGCCTAACATCGAGAAACTATATCTACATAACAATAACTTATCCGCTCTTAGCCAAGAATTGATGAGAAATTTTCGAGGAAACACAGAGATAACTCTGTACGACAATCCTCTTTTATGTGATTGCAATGTAAACTGGATACACCAAATCATTAATGGCAAGAATAAGACCGGTATCAAGTTTTCCGAATCAGAGAGATTAACTTGTGGTGGATTGCAGGAAACGGAACGTCATCTCTTAAAGGAAATGGATGAATTCCCCGCTCACTGTCCTCCCGTTCTGATAGGACGCATTAATAATACAGAAGATAAGAAAATGGGCGATAAACATATTTTCCAATGTCGTGCTCACGGTATACCTACACCGAAAATACACTGGATATTGCCGACTGGTATTTTAGTAAACGAAACTTCGAACAATTTACATTTACAATTGACACACACGGGTTGTCTAACGATCTATCACTTAAAACTTAAAGATTCTGGTTCTTATACGTGTGTGGCAGAAAATTATTTGGGGGAAACTATTGGTATAACAGATCTAATAGTGGAGAAAATAGACATTAAAATATTTCCATTAGGAGTATCTTCGACATACGTCACTGTGGTGTGGAACGGGACAGCACGGAATAATTTTCCAGAATATGAAATTCTTTACCGTCTGGCGGATGACAAGAAAGAATATAGATCAGTCACTGTCAGTCAGTACTTTCGGTCGTATACCATTAACAATCTGCAACCAGAAACTCAGTACGAGTTCTGTATAGCAGTTAAAAGCAAGGAAAGTGGTCAAATGATGCAAATAGCTTGTACTAAAGTAGAGACGAGAGACGAAAACTACATGCTGCAGGGGATCCATCACACTAGTAATGTGGCAGTGGCAGCTGTGTTGGGTATTATAGTTGTTATGTTGCTGGTCATCTGCGCGGTGACGGTGGCGGCGAGAAAGTACCGACAACGACAGTACGACACTCCGGAAAAGTCGTTGGTCAACAATATGTTACAGATTCCAATGGAAAACCTACACAGTCCACTTATGTCCCATTTGGGATCTTAATGCTCATATGTCAAAATGTATATAACCTTCGACATAATCAAATTGTAAAATTATCGTCTGTTAGTTTTTTTAATTAAAATGAAAATAATTATCCACCCAGCTATCCATTACTCCACTTAATGATTTTTGAATAGTAGCTTTAATGTCAGGAGCTTTTTTTTATGTGAATGATGTCGGTAGAGAGAAAATTACAGATGATTCGCCTTTAATTTGAACAAATCGCAATAATAAACATTTTTTTTAAATATTCGAGTGATAGTTTGAAAAATGCGCTACCAATAAAAACCGGTTTTTGAATTTATCTGAAAGTCACGTAGGTCGTTAATAAAAAAAAAGTTACGTAAAACAAACGGAAGATCCGCTGATTGTCGCCTTTCCAACTGGGAAACTCAATTTAGAAGATAAACATCTCATCCAATAAACTAGTTTGATGTAAGGAACGTGACGTAGGCCGATCGATAGAGAAAATGGGAAATTGCATACACAATGTAACAAAGCTTCGCTTAAAAAAAAATCAAATTACAAGACTTTATTCGCTGAATTGCTAATCCCAATTTTTTTCTTCATAAAAAAATGTTCATTGCTTTCAGTTAAAGTATAGCAATAACAGTTTTGAATAAACTGTGGTTAATGAAAATTTGATCATCAAAAATGCACCATAAAAACTCTAGATGATACAAATATTCATTAGATTATAAGCATGATAAAATCAGTTTAGATCCGCATTTGTGTGGATTGTACCGTATCTTCTAATACTATTGTCTAAATTGAAGATAAGGAGGAAACAATGCATAGTTATTTCTAGTCGGATCGATCAGAGAGAAAGAGGAATTAGTTAAAAGGCATTAGAGATTTCTAGAATGGAAAATTAATGGTGGGGAAAATATGATGTCGAGACGAAGCGTAATAGTGTCGTTGGAATGGGTCACTTTACGACCACCACTTCAAGGCAGGTCAGTCGGAAATGTCTGTTTAGTATCACTCTCTATCGCTATTCTATCGATCGCATACGCTCCTTCTAATAGTTCCACCAGGAGTTTTCACTAAAATTAAGGTTTAATCTACTGATAAGAAAGAAGAGAACTTGCTTACGCACAACTAATTGTTAGTCAAAAATTAAGAAATTTGCAAACTCTCTTGAGTAATATAAATGCTTTATTCTCTTCTCTATTTAGTAAAGATTTCTATACAGTAATACCTCGACTTACGCGAACCCGGAGTTACGCGATTTTCAAACCTCGTCGATTCGTCTTTTATTTGAGCGCCACGCAACTCTTGATTACTCACTCCTCCCACACTATTGTTCAGCTTACATGTTCGGACGTGTCGCGCGGAATCGACACAGCTACAATTTATTTTGTGTTATTTATTTCTGTGTTTGTTATATCTACGGAGACTTGAGAGACTCTATGTGGTGATTTCTTGTAACCGTGAACGAATCAAAAAACGAGATAAGATTAACGAGAACATTTATTAGCTTACATACATCCGACTTGGATTTTACACAAATTGTGAAATTATACTCCGACTTACGCGAATTCGACTGCCGCGGCCATCGCTCGGTCCCACCTATCGCGTAAGTTCGGGGTATTACTGTATTAAAATTTAAAGCTATTTTAAGGTCTCTGCTTTTTGGAGATATGATACAAAAAGTAATTTTCGTAATATTTACTATAATGGAGAGATAAATAGCGGTAGTGAATGGTATCTGCATGAATAACATTAAGAGTATTGCGTTTCGAAATTTTGTACTTTATATAAATTCTAAATCGATATTTCATGGTTTCTTTGAGAAATAAATATAAAGTGGGCTTATAGCTTCCGTGAAAGCTTACATTTTAAAATTTATTATTATATCTATCTTAAGTGATTTTTCTGCTTCTTTATTTTATATTACACACAAATATTAAAGATAAGATATTCTGGAATATCAACTATTTCATCTTTACGTTGATTTTTGTTGTTTCCCCCAGAAGAAAAATTTCAATAATGTTTTTATTTTAATAAAATTGATGAAAACAAGACTTATCTCATAGTTTATACAGCTTCCAGCAGAGGACTTATGACTAATAACAGGTTTAAATTGCTATGAACTTGAAGACTTACTCAAATACATTTAGCAATTAGAATGTGCTCGATAAATCTAGTTGAAGTAAACGTCGATGGAAAAAAAAGAAAACTTATCTCTGGATCATTACTTTCGTTACAGAAATTCAACAACAACAACACTGTCTATAGGTGAAACGAGTAAATCAATGATGCATGTTCCTCATTGGTGTATTACATATGTGAAACGAACTGGAACAATAGCCAAATGTAATATAAACTATCAAAAATAAAAAAATACTTCAATACATAAAAATAAAAATTACTAGCTAGTTTGTAAATGCGCTAAACTCACTGTTTTTTTTTTTTTAACGAAAAGACAGTAGAAAATTAATTTTAACAAGCTACTAGTTAAATAATTGAAATATGCAATAAAAATGTAACATGACACGATTTAATAATACATTCTTCGCTCACTTATCAATGTTAAATTCAGACTAATAAATTCACATTATTTCAAAATCTGACAATTTATGACAAATTTTAAATAATTTTGCAAATTATCTAGTTTACATTGAAATAAGCTATTTAAAATCAAATTTCAATTATTCTTATGGCGTTTCACGTTATTAATGTTTCAAAAACTGCCAGATTAAAAAGAAATCTGTATCATTTTCTCTTTATCTTTTTTTTTCAGATAATCAATAATCGAAATAGTTTTCTTATTTCAATCTTTTCCCTTTAAAACTGCCATTGTTATTTGTCATTCTGTCTCAAATAAACGATTGCACAATCGAAGGATAAATCGCTTAAGAAACTACTGAATCGTATGATTTCAATTGGTAATCCCAAAATTCTATATACTATATCTATAGTTGTTACACGAATATATGCCAAATGTACAGATATATATATATATAATTTATATGTATGAGAACATATATTACATTATAGTAGATAAATTTCAATGAAATAATATTTTCGGATATATTCTCAATGGAAGTTCTTTCAAATTATGTTTGCGTTTTGTCAATGATTAAATTAAAATTACTTATCCGAGCATGAATAAGGAGAAGAAAATATTTCAGTAATTAAAATCTTGTAAACTTTTATAAAATTAATTTCCTGTAACAAGAAAGTATTTCCGCTTCAAGAATTGTTTATCTGCTAACAAGACTTGACAACAAAATAAATAGTAACGTAAAATTCTCTGTTAATTTCTCGCTTAAATTTCAATAATTGTTTTTCCAATTAATGCTTAAGATTTTACGACTTGTTTCATTGTTATATGTGCGTAATACGGTAAACTCTGTATGAAAACGAATTTTCTTAATATCGATCAAATTTAATTACTATTGTTATTGTTATAAAGAAGTATTTCAATTCCGACATATAATAATTACTATTCTTATAACTGAATAACTAATTTAAAACAAATTTATTTACAATCAGAAGCAATACAGTTTAATTAACGTAGAAAAATATTTTTCAGAAATCTATATTTAAGTGATTCTAGAAAGTTGTTTTCTTAATTACACTATTCATCTATTTTCATTAGTATTAGTATTAAATATGCAAGAGAATAATTAAAACATCCTATTTACATATTTATCAGTAAATTATCACGATGAAAACATTAAAATTAGAAAAATTTTGAAAAGATACTTTATATATCAAGATAAAAATCTGAATAATTTATAACCCAGATAAAGTAACTTTACATCTCGGAGTTCGATTCTTTTAACGCTTACGGCCATAGATCCCAAAAGTCCATCATTCATAACCCCCTCTTTTCCTTTCCGCTAATGCACTAAAGCAATTGCTGTCCAAATTAGATTTTTCTTGAAGGAGATGAATTGCTTGTGACCCTAACCTTTCCTTACTCTTTGTACAGCGATAATACTTTCTCCTCACATTAAATAACTGCTGTATCTAGCCATGATTAATATAGCATCTACTCACCTGCTCATTTTTATTTTGAAAATGCTATATACAGTATATATTTTACATTTTTATAAATTCGCCCGAAAATTATATTTATATATGTTAATTATTTATTTGTAATGTACTTTAAATTTGAAAGAACACATTTAAAAATAATGGGATAGATGTTTTTATATATTTATCAGATTGCAGTATTCAGCAAAATACGTGAATTTATTAAACTACTTTGCAAAATACTGGATTCAACAAAGAAATGAGTTATTTTGATCGATATTTCTCCTGACTTATTTACACAGCAATCTTTTGAAATTTATATTTGCATTCAGGATGTAAATTTAAAAAAGAAAAGAGGATTAAAAAGGATATTCGTCACTTGGAAATCTTTTCATTTCCTAGCATATCAATTATGCAGTCAAACATTCCTATTCTTTTGTTTCTAAAAAATAGTTCAATTTAATGAGAATTCTTATTGCATTCAGAAAAAATTTCAGATGGAAAATCTTTGTAAAAATTCTAAATATTTTATCCCAATATATACTAATTTTATTTTTATTCTTTACAGAACATTTGTTGCAAGATAGAAAATTATCATAAAATCAATAAAACTTTCTGTGTATTCAGTCTATTTTTTAAAATTGATGTTTTCATTATAAGCATTAAAGTTCTTTGTCAAACAATCTTTTGTTTCTTGGGAATTCTGACATCTGGTTCAAAATTCTCCTTGTTAGGAAAATATTTAAGAGCATACTGATATTTACATTTTAAGCATATTTTCTTGAAATTCTAAGACTGCATAGATTTTAATTTTTTCTAGAATAAAAATTTTGAATGGTAAATAATGCATTAACTAAAAAAATTCTCTATTGTAATAATTTATAACTATTTCTAATATAAAATAAATTATAATATAAATATTTTTCTTTTCTGTAATTTTTCTTGCTTTATTTTATGTTCTTTGAAGACATTACTTTAAAGTTCAAAAAATGTTTCCAAGAAAAGGACTGTAAAACTGCACAGTCCTTTTACTAATAAAACTATAAGTCTTATTTTACTAACTAAGTTAGTAAATAACTATTAAAAATACAATTTAAGTTAAATGTTTTACTTTAGTAATATTGATACAAGAATCTTTTAAAATTTTTAAAAATTTTAAAATATATGACTGCTAAATATTTATTTTAAAAATTCCTCTATTTCTATAATTCATTTTTAATAATACTCTATACCAGGGGTCGCCAAAGTGGTCTATATCGACCCCCAGGGGTCGATATAACATTATTGGGGGGAGTTGATGAAAAGACTAAAACTTACAAATTTTGAACCGAATATTGCTAATCTTGCTAAGGTTTATCAAGCTTATCCGTCTTATTGATTGTCAGTTACAAAAATTATTATTAACATATATACAGTACAGTACTGTACAATAAATGTAAAAATTGTAAAATTAAAAGATATATATTAAAATAGTAAGCACTTTTTTTTTTCTTGTAACAAACTGTTTGGTAGGAGTCAATGTGAGGTTTCGAAAACTTGTAGGGGGTCGATGATCAAAAAAGTTTGGCGACTCCTGCTCTATACTATCCAATTCAATTTTATTACATTGAAAATAAATTTGATATTTAAAACTTGATCTTCCTATTAAAAGCTTTCTCTTCTAACTCAATTATTTTAATTCAATTAAATAAGTTATTTTTTAATCCTCCATGAGTATATTTAAATTGCTTAAATTATATAAATATAAATTTTCAAAACATTTAAATTAGAAACTTTCCTAAACAAACAGCCACTAAAAATTGTCAAACTATTGTGAACAAAGTATATAAATATGATATATAAAAATTTATCTACTACTAAAATGGTCTAAAGCATTAAAATTTAAAATTACACCATTCTTATGATGCAAAATATAATCTACAGAACTCATAATTTTAATTTTACAAAATGGATTTAAAATGTTAGGTCAGAGCATGTTGGAAACCAACAATGCTCTTGATGTATATTATTAAAAACACATCAAATTAATGATGGAAAGAAAATTGTGATTATTAAACATCAAAATATTATTTTAAATTTTTATAGATTTTTTAAAAAATCCTTGAAATTTTTGTAATTTGAAAGAGAACTATTTTATTTAAAAATTATTTAAAAACTTTCCTGATAAAAACAGGAAAATAAAATTCTAATAAGCTTGGTTAATGCATCATAGATACAATTGCTAAAATTAAAAATTTAACACAGACCAACCATATTATAAATAATATATTATTTAAAAGTAACTGAATAAATAAAAATATTTTTATTAAATTGTTTTAAAAATAAAAATATAGCATATGAATAAAAATACTTTATTTTCTTACAAATAGTTAATACATTTTAATCAATTTTTAACTAATTATAACATTATTTGTAATTAATACTTAGAATATTTTTCATTAACTTAACAAATAAAATTGTTTTGTTTATGTTATGTGATTTTTTATTTAAACATCTGTTTCTAATACATTATTAATTTTTATTTTGAAAAATGTAATTAAAAATTTAATTTCATTTGTATTTATTAATTTATAATTTACTTACATAAGAGCTACAATATCTCCACGGTTTATATTGAAGTCTCGAATACTCCATTTGTTTAAGAGAACATAATCATGTGTTTTTTGTTCAGGATTTAACACAGGCTAGATAATAATTAAAATATAGCATCTCATTTATTTTAATTTACAAATTTATTAAAACTAATTAAATTTAAAATATTAAATATATTTCATTACATTATATAAATATAACAATTTTTTGATATCATTCACTGTTGGATTAATAATTCACTATTTAAAACTGAGAAATAATGTTTTATAATAAAAAATTAAATTTTTATTTATAAGTTGCATGTACTACAAAGAAATAATAATGTACAGTATATCAATGAAATAAATTTTCCAGTAAAATTACAAATAATTAATGGAAAAAACTGATACAAAAATTAAATATTAAATCAATATTTTTTATACTTCCATTAAAAAACAATCTAATGAAATCTATTTACAGTATGAAAAAAAACAAGCAATACATAAAAAATAGCAAGTGTTACATTTAGAAAGAAAATTAATTTAAAATCTTGAATAATTTTTGTTGATCAAAAAAGATATAAAGATTTCAAAAACAATTCTTTTTTGTCTTGGAAACATTGTTTTCCATCAGAAATAAAAGTAAAATTAGAATACAGTAATCTTGTCAAGTAATGTAAATTCTACTCAATTGTTAATAAATTATTATAATTTTTTATTTTAAACAAATGAAATATATTTCATCTTTTCTGTAATTATCTGTTAAATGATTGATAAAAGTTTTCCAGTTTTAAAATATTTTTTAAACATAGTCTCCAATTCAAAGACATTACAGTAGAGCGTCGTTTATCCGAAAGCATTCCAGTCGGCAAATGTAAATTTTCGCTAGTGCTGTGGCGCTGCAATCTTCGGCTATTTCTCGGACTACTCAAATATTTTACATTTTTGATACTAAATTAACTTCTTAAGTATAATTTTTTATTGTTTTTATATTTTTCAATAAATTTATTTTGTTTGTACACAATAAAAAAATAATTTTTAACGATACAATAGTCTTCGTTAGGCTTAACATCGACGAAAATTCAACGCGAAGCGACACGCAACGGAGAGAAATTTCAACATGGGATAAATTAATATATTTTTTCGTACATGATTCGTTATCCGAAAAATAAGTTATCCGAACCCAAGGTCTTAGATTTATAAGGTTGCCTCATACAGCCGATTTAGCCACTTCCTGCCAGATTCCGGATATACGTCATCCGTAGTCGAGCCCAAGGTCTAGCGACTGCTTCACTACTGTAAGCGAGGGAAGGAAATTTTGGAATTTAACTATTTTTTTTTTAATTTGTCGAGCGTTTTTAGACTCATAATCTTCGAAGGTAAATATATCTATACTTATTGCTATTATTAAACATAATTATGTTGATAATTATATCGATAAAAATTGTTCGGAAGTAACAAAAGTGTTCCTAGAACAGTTTGATATTCTGTTGTAGTCTTTACTCTTCGTTCTGTAGAAATTACAGAATATGGTTACGGATAAAATATATTTATTAATAAAATACTTTAAAATACTAAGAATAGTTTTCTGCATGTATAAAAATAGTATCTGCTCAGTGAAATGACGACTACAAATAATAAGCTGGCCGGTAACAGGATGGTAACACTTAAGATAACCTGCGATGTAAAAGAATATTGTTTATTATTAATTAATATAACTTTTTAAAATATGCATATTTACGCAAATACCTAAATTTTATTATTATTATTTTTAGATGCCAGGAGCAACATGTGCTGTTGCAAATTGTGATAACAGCCATTGTAAAACAAAAGTCATTAGACAGGAAAGTCAGTTATTTTAGATTTCCTAAAGATCCAATAATAAGAAGAAAATGGATCCATAACTGTAAAAGAAAAGACAAATTTAATCCTGATTCTTGTCATGTTTGCTCTGATCATTTCACAGAAAATGATTTTGA